AAAAGTGATGTAGTTGGAGCAGGATGGTGATTTAACTGTAAAAGGAGACAGGCGCTTTATAAAGAAATATAACCAGCATACAAACACTCAGCAGAGATTGGAGTCGAGTCCAGTGCAAAGAGATGCAGATGTGTGATTATCATCAGCGCAAATTGCCTCAGAGTAATTACACTGTGTTGGCAATCTGTGTGTTTATAAATTAGGCAGCGGTTATTTGCAAACCTTTGCCAAACTGCCTGTGAGCATTTGCAGTGTGTCTGATTGTCGATTGACAGGAGACAGGCTGCCTAACACCAAGTGAGCTGTGCAGTCGCTCAGTAATTGCTTTGCACGGTCACCCTCTCCTTAACCAATCATCAGGCAAACACTGATTTTTCTCATTTGCAAAGATATTCCTTGTTCTAGTTTTGTGTAACTGAACAATTAGGATTCATTTGGAGCTCTGCAGATTCTGCATGTACTCATAGAAAAACCAAAAGCCTGTTCGTATAAATATGGATTTGCACTTGATTCCTGTTGAATTAACCGTTTGTCTGCCTCCCATTCAATTTTCAAAGTACTCTAGAAACCACAAGTAAGCCCACAGTCTGAGAGTGAAGAGCTCTAATGGGGTGATATGGTAATATGAGGTCATTAAGATAAGATAGGGCCTGATTTTTCAACACCTTGTAGGATTTTTAATTCGACAAAGCTTGTCTAGTCTTAAAAACTAAAAGCTTTACCTTTCTTACATCCACATGTGTGAACAACATGAAATTGCAGGGACCTCAGGAGGGTTTGAACCCACAACTTTCCTGTTTTAAGCCAGCAGTGAAACATCTGGACAGTAGTGTCTGATACCGAATGAAGTTAGCTTTTTATTAAACTTCAATAAATGAAAGAAATGGCAACACTTTAATGTCTAAAAGTCAATATTTCACCTAGCTTCTTTTTGTATTTGGCTGAACAGAGACTGTCTCCTATTACTGCACCTTAAAATCTATCTATCTACCTTTCACTGCTTGAGAACTGCACACATGCTTTTTCTTAGAGTATTTAGTGCAGAGTTTAGGATAACCATCTAATGTTAACATATTTGAGAGGACTACATATCATTGTTTCATCTGCTCTTCTCACAGGTTTTCCATGAGTGCTTCCTGCATCCGTGTCAGAACAAGGGGACATGTGAGGAGGTTGGAGCAGGATATGTGTGCACCTGCATGCCCGGGTTCACAGGTAGATCACCCATCAGTAGATCAGTGATAATGATTGATTCTCATGTGACATATTACAAGAACTGGATACACCCTCTGATTTCACGGTCAGGTGCCAAGTGTGAGATTGACATAGACGAGTGTAACTCTGCTCCCTGCCAAAATGGAGGCCTGTGTAAGGACGGCATAGGAGACTTCCAGTGTCAGTGCAAGCCTGGATTTTTAGGTAAAGGGACCTTTGAGTTTGTAGCTCAGTTTGCACAATACTCAAAACAAAGGTTGGCAGGTTAGGGTCAGTGATTATTTCAAGGCCTTGGAAGTTTAGGTTTGACTTGCAAGTTTCTGACTGCACATTTTACAGAGCTATGACATCGATACACTGTAATATTTATATAATATACTCTATGTGCAACAT